GATCACTGCTTTCTTTGCCCAGGCCGCCTGCCATCCTTTCTTAGTGAGGCTGCCTAGGAGCAGCTGACTATGGACAAAAACTGTGAGCCAAAATAAATAAATGTCTCTTCTTTTAAGTTGTGGGTGTTGGATATTGTATTCAGTGTTAGGAAAGTGGACTAAGACACAAAGGTAGAAGATGGCTTTAAGATTATTAGACCCAAGCATCACTAAAGGTGAGGAACAATCCAACAAGTTGGTTTTGTGTGTGTAAGCAAGAAAAGGAAGCAGAGGTCTGCCAGCAGCATGGAGGGTGAAGGCCATTGGCAGAAATGTGATTCAAGGGGCCAGGGATTTAGCTCAGTAGTTCCTCTTCCTACCTTGCAAGTGCAAGGTCCCAAGTTTAATCTCCAGTACAAAAAAAAAAAAAAAGATGATTGAAGAACAGAATGAATGGCTCAAAAACAAGCAACACAAAGGGCAACACCAGGAGCCTAAAGGGAGGAGAATTATAAAACAGAGGGGGTAGAAGTTGGAAAAACTATCACAAGGATTGTAATATTCTCACACCTGAAATGATTAAAATGAAACAAAACATTTATTCATCTAAAAAGGACAAAGAGAAATCTGCTAGACCTTACTTACTAATCTTGTGCTGAGAGCATATCCTGGTAGATCACAGAAGAAAGGCAAGGCTAACGCTCCCAGTCAACATTTACTATTAGTAAGGGAGGTCAGTCCCTGGGCCATTTAGCATCATAAGGAAAGGTCCATGTGAGTGCTTCGGAATCAGTCCCAGAATGTGGGACAGCTCTGAGCTGACCGGGCACACTCTTGATGTGAAAAGGGTATAGTGCGGGGCACACACACGGGCTGGGGCCCCCCCACCTCAGCTCTCCCATCATTCTGTCTGTATCTGTCAAAGTGTAACGCAATGACACTCTTCCCTTCTTAGGCCACTTGTGAGGATCCTGACACCCAACCTGTGCTTAGCAGAAGGCAGGTCCCAGCGGGCCTCACAGAATGAGGTGCAGATCTTGTCATCCAGCAGAGGGCAGCACCACACAGAAATTATTCCTTAGGACTAATGGGGGTTGGGGGGCCAACGTCTTTTGTCTAATGCCACACAATTTCTATATGACTGAATAATAATTATTTGGTGCCACAAAATAAGCGACTTATTCATAGACTTCTTTTCTGTATTGATGGTAAATCCTAGCATAATTTAAACCCCAAAATTTAAAGCTTTAACTTTTTCATTCTAAATACATTGTGCCGGGCCGGGGATTTAGCTCAGTGGTTCTGCCGCCTGCCTCGCAAGCGCAAGGTCCTGAGTTTAATCCCCGGTACAAAAAAAAAAATTCTCTAAATATTTTGTGGCTTACTTTTATCTCCCTCCTCTCCTGAGTATCCCTCTGTGTAAATGTGTCCTCCTGGTGCCCAGTGTGGCTTTGCCTCCTCTTCTCTTTTGTGTGGTATGTTGCTACTGCAACTAAATAAAATGCATTTTCCGCAGAGACTCATCACAGACGTAAATGGGAGTTTGTTGCATGAGATTGTCCTGGCAACTAGCTGGAGAGATTTCACTATTCTAACAGCACCAGGACCTCATGCTAAGAAGTTTAGTTTACAGTGGGGTCAACTTAGCATGAATTCGCTGGACAGAATGATGAGCAAAGCTCTTCAGTGTCAATGAACTTTTAACAATTATTCAATCTGTCATAAAGTAACTTCCTTTTCACTCTCACCATTTTAAAGTATCAGTGTGTTTGTACTATTATAGTACTTATTTACTATAAATTAACTTTAAGAAAAACTGGAGTTATTACACAACTGACTTGTCCTTATATTTCAGTTGAGAATTACTGTTTGATATTTCTTTATGCCACAGAGATCAACGTCATCCTGTATTTAATCAAAGTTAGAGCCTGGGTGAACTTTAATTTTGAAAATCATTGGGTTAAATTTCTCTCTGCTAATGTTATGCTCCTAATAATTTAAAATCCTAACAAAAGAAATAACAATCTAGATGTCAGTATGTGTGTAACAGTACAAATCAAAACAGAAAATTTGTATTGATTCTTCTATTTAAAAAAATTCCTTCCACCATGTACTTTCCCTATGCAATTAGGAATTTTTAAAAAAGACTACAAAGATGCTAAAAGCTTTCATAGTTATGCTGGAGGCTGAGGAGGTGATAAACCCAGAGGAGGAAATTATTAGTCATCAAGTCTCTGGAGATGATGGTGGCAGCTGTAGAGGAGGAAGTGGTGTGCTCTGGTCACAGCTTTCCTGTTCTGAGTTTAAAGACAAAGGTGCCCCCTCAATTCTGCTTTTATTGACGTACCTGAGTGCTGAGTCTTACTTGACATTTTTTATCTCAAGAAAGGCAAATTCAGCTGACATTCATGAACAGTACCTGTGTTGCAGATAGATCTGATGATAGGTTTAGTTGAAAGTCAGTTTGGGGACTGGAATTTTGACAGTGAAATTTGTGAACATGGGCCATAGAAGCAACACTGATAGTAACAGATTTCCCCAGGTTAGCCCTCCAAAACCTTCTGCTTTAGAAATGTGTGACATCTAGAACTTGTGTTTGATTAGAACCTAATCACCAATCTAGGCACTGGGTTCCCATGAGGAAATTTTCATCACATTTTTGCTAGATTTTAAATCTGGAATATTAGGAATATTTTAAAGTTTGGAACATTTTGGCTGCTGTGTCCTCATATGGGAGAGAGTTGGAAGCCTGCGTCTTCAGAAGCTGTCCCAAGCCACTGAGGGTGGGAATGGCTTTGAGCAGAGCAGGGCTTCTGGTAAGGGGGGAAGGGAATAGGCAGGGAGGAGTGGGCTTTTTAATCCTTTTCAGGCATCTTCTGCCCACTGTGCCCCTGCCCTTTGCCAGTCTCAGCTTTGGGGGGAGGTCTCTGGAAATGAGATCTCTGGAAATCAGCCTCCCCAGCAAGAATGATGGCAGAGCTGCTCTGCCTTCTGGTCTGTTTTGGGGCGGGGAGGTCCAGAGAGGGGAGGAAGGGAAGGAGCAGGCTGAGGAAGGGAAGAGAATAGGGTTTCCCTTCCTATCTGCCTCTGGGTGGTCACAGATTGAGCTAGCTGGGCTTGGGCTGAAGTCATAAGTCTGCCTGGATGGAGAGGGGAAGGCAGGGTCTTTCTGGAGGTGCCTGGCACATCAGACAGCCACAGGGAGGACGTCTGTCAGTCTGAGAGCCTCTCCTTACATCTCTAGGGTGGCAGGATACAAAGAAGGATGCCCATAGGAATTTGAGGGCTGGTAGCTTGCTACACAAGCTAATGACAGCTTTTAAATTCCATTTCCCTCAAATGTCCAAATCAAATGCAGAAAGTTTTTTTCACATTTTTCTCAAAGTAAATTCTAGAGGCTAAGAAGCGAGAACTGTCACCAGTAGCTTAATGAGAATGTAATATATCAAATCAAACTCTTGGGCAACTAGAACGCCCCCCATCAAGTTCTGTACAGAGCCTGGATCCTGGCTGATACTGTTAAATACACATTAAACAAATGCCTCACTGAATACCAATTTGCTGGAGAATCTATATTTTAAATCTCTACATTTTAGTACTGGCTGTTACTTTAAATATATTTGGCAAAAACTGTGATATTTACCAGATAAATCTGACCAGGTGTGATTACCACTGGCTGGGAAGTGATGAGTAAGTTTCTGTAGCAGCATTTGCTTTTTTGAGTTTACATTCGGCAGGGAAGCTGACTTTATGGATTAGCATACATAATGGTAGTTAATGAAAACCACCAAAATTGCTAGCAGAAAAAACATGGTGGTTTAGCAAATAATTTTCTTTTGAATTAATCCTAATCTTTCTGTTGTACTTAGTATTATTTATCCTTTTGGCTTATTTTAATCAGGGACTAATATAGAAGCCCCCACAAATTGAATAGAGGACCTTCACTAAGCCCATGGCCAAAAGCAAATAGCATTTCTGTGGAATTGTCAACCAAACCAAGCTCTGCCTCTCTCTTTTTACCTCAAAAGAACCTAGAAAATCTGACTTCTTCAGTTACAAACCCTCCTGTCCCCCTAATTGCCCATTTCTGAAATGAATCAAGTAAGAACATCGAGTATTCTTTGAACCAAACTTTTCATTTGGTGTAAAATCCTTTAATATCTGGATTTTTTTTTTATTGGTCCCAGGGATTGAACTCAGGACCTTGCACTTGCAAAGCAGGTGGCAGCACCACTGGGCTAAATCCCCAGCCCTAATATCTGGATTTTAATGCATCAGCAGGAATACTCCCCTGCATGGCCACCCTCTCCTTTAGTGTTAGAGGGTCCTATTTTTATCGGGGACATTAGGTGCTAGAGGTGGGTGTGGTTCAACAATGGGCCAGGTGATTCTTATTCATTAACTGAGTGTCATCTGGAGGATGAAGCACTCCATCTTTTATAAAAGAAAAAATACTAAAGTAACTTTTAAAAAATCCTGGCTGGCCAGGAATTTGGCTCAGTGATTCTGCCGTCTGCCTCGCAAGTGCAAGGACCTGAGTTCGATCCCTGGTACCAAAAAAAAAATTCTGGCTAACAAAAGGGCATTTTGAGTAGTATTCTCTGTCAAATACTGTTCCCATGACACTTATTAATCCCCGAATCTTTGCTCTGCCCTCCCAGTGACTATCAACTTTTGTATTTCTTTTAAAAATACTGAAGCAAATGACATTGTCAGCAGTCTACAGGTTATACAATTTGGAATAAAAAAGATGACACATGTGGTCTACAGCATATGTCCACATAGTACCAGCATCCTGTTACCTAAGCACTTGATAACAAAAACTGTAACAAAGAGACAAAACAGGGTAACTTCTTACTGCTGTCTTCTGCTAGGCTGTGCAAGTCACTGGTCAACAAGGCGCTTACGTGTGACGATGTACCTGTGTCTAGAGCCATCAACAGTCTTGGGTCGCACTGAAATATTCAGCAGTACTTGAGAGGATCATTTTATTTCCATCATGGCATGAATCCACCCTGATTGTAGCCTTTGGCCCTTAAGTCTATAAAATATTCTTTCCCAATTCCACATTCAAATATTAAATTAAATCAGATGTGCAAAAAAGAAACATGATCTGCCACCAAAACAGAAAGTACCCCTCCACAAAACCAGCCTTGGAGGAAAACAACGTCCACCATTCCATGTCCTCATCCTAAACTCTTAAAAAGAACAGGTTCACATTCCTCAGCTGTGGTTGTTCCAGTGTGCAAGAGGCCCGTGCCAGGAGGACAGGGGCTCTAGAAGTGCGAGTGGTGGTCGGGGTGGTCAGCTCGCCCCCGCCTGGGCCATTCCTCCTCCACCCACCTGCGCAGCACCTTCTCCACGTCGGCGCGGTGGTACAGGCGGCACAGCTCCATCAGCTGGCCCACCGTCCTCTGGCTGTTGCGCAGCAGAAACTCTAAGGTGGGGCTCTGGGGCCTCTGCTCCAGGAAGCACAGTTCGTCATAGGGCATCCCCCATTTGCTTGCAAAATTCCGCCAATTTTTCACTGTTGGGTGGCACGGATCTAGCTTTATCTTGATCACATCTAATAAGTCCTGATCATTGAGTAAGTCAGTTATGGTGGGGGCCCGCAGTGCGCAGGAGGAACAAGCACAGTCTTCTTTGCAGGGGTGGTCCTTGTTGACACCTGCAGGAAGAAACAGCCCACAGGTCAACCGAGGCCTCGCCTACACCTTCACTTCTTACGTCCTCATTTTCCTGCTGAATTATCAATAGCACCAGCCTGCCTTAGGAAGAGTTCAAAATACTTGTTGCTCAGTACTCACACAATTTTTTTTTTTTTTGTACCAGGGATGGAACTTGGGACCTTGTGCTTACAATAATTTTTTTTTTATAGCTGGGAGAATTAGTAAGATTTTTTATCTCTGTCCAAGACACTCTGCATCTTCCCATATGCATCATGGGACTGCTGGCTAAAATGAGGGCCCCAGGGGATACGGTGCTCTCTGGGGACAGATCACAGTCCAGTGGGCCCAGCCTGGCAAGGGGCCAGCCCTGGCTTGCATGCACTCAACCTGTGCCCCTTGACAGCTTTTAAACACCAAACACAGCATGCTACGGTGCAACGGATTGCACAATTCTTTAAAAGTTCTTGGAAAAAAAAAACTGGAATATCCACCCCATATGCATATTTGAAAACAAGTGATAATTGATAGTGCCAGAACACTTACTTTTTAAATTTATGGCCTTATCTTTCCTATGCCTTTATCTCTGTTTTCTTCACCTGTGGGGCTCTCTCTGAAGTACAGCCAAGGGCCTCAGGTGCGCAGCGAGGCACAAACAGGCGGAGGACCACAGCAGGCTCTGAGCTGTCCCCAGCCCCCACAGGGAAACGCCTTCGTCCCTTCAGGGTCCTCAGACTCATTTGTTACCAGCAGGCGGGGAGTGGGAGGATGGAGCCAGTGGGTAAGATGCTGTGGGCAAGTCATTTATAATGAAGTGGTGTCTGTGTAACATGGCAAATTGAGCAGATTAAATTCTGCAGTGTGGTCTCACGAGTCCTCCACAATAGCCAAGGGCTGCTTTGGAGATCAGTGGCCTGGAAGACTGGGGAAGAGATGGTGACCATTGCTGCATAGGGTGCCACACTGATCCATGTCCTCCAGATTTAGGAAAGTGAAGAATTTGGAGCAAGGGAGTCACTTTGGTGATCTTGAGAACGAGCAGTTCTGAGGCAAGTAGAAATTAAAAGGCAACAAAACAAGAGCTATGACAATTTTGGTCGTACTCTTTGACTTACTGATATAACTTCTGGGATTACAGCCCAAAGATGTAAACACAGGAACATTTTATTTCAGTGCTAGGCCTTTAGGGAGGATGGTACCGAGGACTGAATCAAGGGCTTTCACACTGAGCTACAGCCTCAGACCTTTTATATTTTTGAGATATGGTCTCACTAAGTCACTAAATGGTCCAACCCAGGCTCAAACTTACAGTCCTCCTGCCTCAGCCTCCTAGACTGCTGGGATTACACCTGTGCGTCATCATGTCTAGCTTATGTTATTTTTTATCTGCTCAGAATGCTAACTCCCCTTTGTTATCATTAAGTCCTAATTTTAAAAGTCTTTAATTTCATATGTTAAAAAAAGATGTGCTGAAAAAATCTACCGATGTTTTCAAAAACTTAAATGATTTAAGTATTTATTCAACTGCTACCTTCATACTCTGCCAACATGAATGATTTTAGAGCCTTTTAAAATCATAAACTAATTAGCTCTCTGAGGGACTTCAACAGAAAAAACAAGTTTTTTTTTTCCTATTAAATACATTTTGTCTCACCATACTTTAAATATCTATCATGTAATATTATACCTGAAAGGGAAATCTGGGAGACATCTCTCGAAAGAGGGACTTTGGATCAAAGACATCATCAGTAATGGGGAAAATTGGATTATGAGGTGAAGTCTCTCCAATGACAAGCACCGGACACACATTAGTCACTGGATAAGTGAAAATTACTGTGATGATGACCAACTGGTCTTTCCTCTCCTGATAAATTCTTCCTAGAAATTCAAAATTCATTTGTTAAATGAGAACTGTGCTTTTCCATGGGAGATGAGGTAGATTTGTAATTGTTTAATGAATTTTGGAAAGCAAAGAGAATGCACGCTAACAGAAGAAGAACACAGCTAGTATCTACTAGCAGTAACTGGGTATTGGTAAAAAATAGTATAGAACTGGAGTTGGGGATGATGGCTCATGCCTGTAACCTCAGAATCTGGCAGGCTGAGACAAAGGATTACAAGTTCAAGTCCAGCCCAGGCAGCTTAGTGACTGAGACTGTGTCTCAAAAAAAGGGCTGGGGATGGAGTCAATGCAAAGGCCCTGGGTTCAATCCCTCACACACACAGTCTAAAACTCCAAAAATTGTGTCAATTCCAGATTGGTGAGGAAAAGAGTGGATTGTTCAAAAAAATGTAATTTTCTATAAAAATTCACTTAGATTCTGTAATAAAGTCCTGACCTAATTCAGGGATCTTGTATTTTCCCCAATGTAAAGCAAGAATGGAACATACTATTAGTTTATGACCACTACTTCTATGAGAGGCCAAGGCCCTGGAAAGATTTGCTGTCTGTAAGACTAGCTTGAGTACTGGGTTATTGTAAGGAAGACTGTCAGGGGAGGGAGCCCCATTTCTCCAGGCCATACTGACTCCTTTACCTGGTGGTGCCTAATGTCTACCAGTCTTGCAATGGGTCAGTGACATTCACAATCCCAGTTCATCCTTCCAGTCTCTACTGGATGGGGCTCCTCAGATCCCTGTGCTCCAATTAGCCGGAAACTTGACTTCTCAGAGCATGTAATACCTGTGTGTAATATCTCAGACTCCTCTAAAGGATGAAGAGGGTAATAATTTCTGTATCAATGATGAGAAAGCATTTTCCGTCAAGTCTTGGGCAAATCTTATCTAATAGGCTACTTGTTTATCTACTTATTTCTTTGTTTCTGCAGAAACAAGTTTCTGGGTGTTCAACCCAGGCAACACTGAGCTCTATCTTCAGCTCTTTTTTTTTTTTCTTCAAATTTTATTTTGAGACGGGGTCTTGCTAAGTTGCCTAGGCTAGCTTCAAACTCGTTATCCACCTGTCTCAGCTGCCTAAGTACTATTCCTGAGATTACGGGTGTGTGCCACCATACCTGCTGTATTAGTTAGTTTTCTCATTGTTGAGAACAAAATACCTGACACCCACAGTTAAAAGAGGAAAGGTTTATTTTAGCTCACAGTTTGTAGAGGTTTTAATTCATAGCTGGCTGGCTCCAAGGCAGGGTGGCATGGCAGAAGGGCATCACAGAGGAGAAACAGTTCATGGCAGGCAGAAGACACCAAAGTAGCAAAGAAGGAGCAAGCGATGAGCAACAACAGCAATCCTTTCTGTCCCTTATATCTTATCCAGGCTACACGCCCTTAGGTTGGATAGTCACACCCAGGGTGGGCCTTCCCATTATCCATACCCAGAACTGTGCCAAACCAATCAGTGGACTAATTTAGTAATCACACTCTTGGTCCCAGCATCGCACAATCCCAGTGTCACACAATCTAGATCTAAGGGCTGGGGATTTAGCTCAGTGGTATTGTGCCTGCCTCGAAAGCTCAAAGTCCTGACTTCGATCCCCAGTACCACAAAAAATCTAGATCCAGTGACCTCTGAAAAGCCCCACCTATGACTGCATGAAACTTTGTGGGGACATCTAGACACAAGGCATACCATCTGGCTTTAGTTTATTTATTTATTTTTGGTACTGGGGATCGAACTCAGATCCTTGCGCTTGCTCAGCAGGCAGCGAAACTACTGAGCTAAATCCCCAGCCCTTGAGTTTATTTTTTTTTTATGTGGATAGGAGAGGGAGTCTGCTGGCTCACCTCTTCTATTGCTCTTCACTCATGCCTGTCTGCAGAGCCCAGGCCAGCTGCAGGGCCTTTGCCTCTGCAAGTCCCCTTCCCGGAGTCCTCCCTAGCACCTCACACAGCTGCTCCATGGCACCGTTCAGTCCTCCACACCTCTGCTTAGCTCATGGAACAACATCCTCCTGCCAGGCACCATCTTATCACCTTTGCTTATCTTCCTCCAGGCCCTTTTCACTATATGAAATTGTGTATTTGTTCCATATTTATTGCTTGTCTCTCACAACTAGAATATAAGCTCCAAGTGGAAAAGGACTGTGATGCCTGATGTCTCCGCTGCAATGACAGGTATACAGCAGGTGCTCAATAAATCAAATGAATTAAGAATGTGACATGAGCAAAAGAAAAGTCACATCAGAAACCTCTGGACATCTCATGAGGCACTGCTTAGACATTTTCAAGCCAATGAACACTTTTTTTCTCTAGTACTGGAGACTGAACCCAGTACTTTCACACCAGCCCCATACCCCTTATTTTTCTATTTTAAGACAGGGTCTCACTAAATTCCTAAGTTTCCCAGGCCCGACTCAAACTTGTGATCCTCCTGCCTAAGCCTCCCAGATTGCAGGTGTACATCACCTGGCCCAGCTCAACAGCTAATGTCATGGAGCATACACAAGGCAAGAGAAAGATGACCTGTTGCTGTGGAGAAGGTCCACTGTCTACCTGCAGATTTCCAACATAAGCCTTATGGACAGCTAGCTCAAGTGTGTGCCTGTACTGGTTACCAAGTGTGTTAAGCTCCTAGTGCTGGGAAAACAACACCTATTATTGCAGGAGGTGGTTGTGAGGGTTAAAGGAGATAATCCATTAAAGCCCCCATCCTAGTGTGGGGTAAATGAGGAACAACACACAGCTGTGGGTGAGGGCTAATCATCAACAGCCTTCTAAAGCAGTTTGTTCTCAACTTTGTTCTGGGATGGAACCCTCCCACCTCCTTCATTCCCTGGGGGAAATTTATAATCACTTGATGTCTGGCTCCACCCATCAAGATCCTTATTTAATTAGTCTGGGATGCAGGTAGGACATGGGAATTTTAAAATCGGTACCCTCCTACCCATCAGAGTCTCAAGTGTAGCCAGGGTTGAAAATCATTGTCTTTCAGACACTTCCAGAGTAAACAGGAGGCCAGAGTTAGATTTTGGAATTACAGCCACTTTTCTTTGATTGAGTTGCCGGATAGCCAGGGGTTTAGCTCAGTGGTGCCAGATCCTGCCTCAGAAGTGCGAGGTTCTGAGTTCAATCCCTGGTACCAAAAAAAAAAAACAAAAAAAAAACCTTATAGAATGGGAAGAGTTGCTGGATAGTGGCCGGGTGCCACGATGTGCTCCACTAGTCCCAGCTACTTGGGAAGCTGAAGCAGGAGGATCACTTGAGGCCAGAAGTTTGAGGTCAGCCTGGGCAATGCAGTAAGATCTGGTCTTTTAAAAAATAAAAGTAAAAGTCCCTGGATACCTAATGTTTCCACAACCACCAGCAGATGCATGGATTTCCCTGTGGGGCATTTCCTCCCCCTCTCTCCTTACTCTCCATCCTTCCTCATACGTCACATTACACTTTAAAGAGTTCAGGATCAAGCATGTTCATTGACAGGGAGTGTTGATACCATTTAAAACAATCTTAGGAAACAGTTAATGTGCAATGGTGCCATGTATAGCTCTCATCTTTGGGAATAGCGTGTTATAAAACACAAGTCAATTAACAGTTAATTGTGAACTGGAACGAGATTCAGAATTCACAGAGGTCAGGACTACTTGAGCCTAGAAGCGGCTCCAGTCAGGATGTTGGCAGCAGATCACAGAGGGACTTAATGTGCCCTGCTGCAGGGAAGGTGCCCTTTTATCTTGCACACCCAGGCTTCTCTGGCTTCTCAGGAGCTCTTACCACACCATGCTTCCCTCCCCTATGCTCAGCACCCCTGTTGGCTCTCAGATGGCTTGGAATGAAGTTCCCTAGGATAGCCAACTAGGCCTTGAATTAGTTCAAGTCAATTAACTGCAAACACTTTATATTGGCAACTGTAGAGATAGCAAAGTATTGTGGTCCCAAAATAAAATAATTCCACCCCAGGTGTCTTATAAATTATCAGATTTGGAGCCTGCAAAATACCAACTCGTGTCAAACAGAATCACATACTTCTATAGTTATGTGTATTAAGAGTTATGTGTATTCATGCTTTTTTCCTGTGTGGTTTCCAATGTGGTTGGAAGTAAATATTTTTAAAGTGCGAGTTTCTGGCTTCAATAAATCTTTGGGTTGGGGTGCACACATGCCACATTATTTATCAGAAGTAGGTAGATGTGATGAGCTGGAAAGTGATGAAGAATTATTTTTATCCCTGAAAAAACTGACCCAAGGGCTTTTGGTAGGTGTTTGATCTTAACCAAAGGGAAAAACATGACTTCATTTTCTCAAGGAGACACCATTATCGCAAGGAGACACCACATGGGCCATAACTCTGGAGAATCTCATTGAAATTCAGTGGATTCAGGCAAGTTGATCACACTGGGTCTCAATTTTGTCATCAAAACTGGAATGTAGAAGCCACACACACACTCTTACATATATGAAAGGATCCAGATTAAACAGTTGGAATAAAATTTTTACTTAAATTTAAATCATGTGGTTCTGAAATTATGGGACTCAAACATATGAACCAAATGTCACTTTATGGGCTTAATCTGAAAATATCAAAATCCTACTTTACATTCATTTCTACGGGGAAGTTAATTTCAGATTAGGAAGGTGTGAAATTATGCAAGGTCACTTGAAGGTCATCCCTGAAAAACTGGCCACAGTGGGCAAAGAGTTTTCTTCAATTATTTCTTCAGATTTGAAATATATGAGTGATGCTTTAATTCACTGGGAAAACTGGGGAAATGCAATCTCCCAATTTGGGGAATATTTTAAACTTATAGTATAACTGCACCTTATTTCTTTAATGCCCAAACATTTTCATTTCAGAAATCTGCATAAAAGGATTGCAAAACTTTTGTGTCTCCACTAATAGCATAAGTGGAATACAATTTGTTGTTGCTGCTTTAGCACAGGGCATTGTTGGCAATGTCTGACTTTCTTGTGCCCTTCCCTAGGGGATGCTGACATCTGCATTCTCTTGTTTTCTTAGTGGCAGCTGGTCCTGACTTATATCCTCCCACTTTCCTTGATCACAAACTGTCACTGTCATTCTGTGCTCTTGACCGGTCCTGTGTTCCACCACAGGGGCCTCCACCTTGCTCTTTTTTTTTTGGTACTGGGGATTGAATCCAGGGCCTTTGCACTGAGCTGCAGCCTTTTTTTCCCCCTTATTTTCAGATAGGGTCTCCTAAATCGCTAAATTGGGACCCTCCTCTCAGCCTCCCAGAGCGCTGGGATTACAGGCACAAGCCACCACACCCACTGCATGTTTTAACCAGTTGTAGACTGCACTGCAGACAGCTAAAGTTTTCAGGAGGCATGAATTAAATAAAAATCAGCCCTTGAATTAAGGCCAGGGCCTTACTCATAGAAAGTAGAAAGCTTCTGTGAAAGGCATTTTGGCTATGCAGAGATTTAGGGGACCAGAGTGGCCTCTGGCTTTGCTCAAGCTTAGTATTTCATCTGAGGCAGTGGAGCCTGAACCCCATCCTCCCAAAGGACACTCAGCTGCACAGGGGTGCACCACGCAGGCCCCAGTGGCATCCTGCTGTATCTTTGGGGGCAGCTAGAGCCAGGCCAAGACCTTGAATCCTATTTACTCCTGTGATCCTGCGATGCCTCCCTCACTACATGTGTATGGTGAAGAAATGAACAGAGCCGACGTGCAGGCCGTTCTGAGCTCCCCACCTCTGTAAAGCATTTAGAGGAGCACCTGCTATATGGTAGGCACTAAATTAGTGGCCACTGAGTCCAGTCTTTTGTTTGTTTATGGAAAACAAGGCAAAATAAAACTCTGGCATCTGTGGGCTGGGCACCATGCAAGATGCTGCAGGCACCAATTCTAACAGCACCATCTCTGCTCTCAAGAGCAGCTCGGTGGGTGCACAACACACATTCATGTCACCAGCTGTCATGAAAGTTTATCTTCCTTAGAACACTTCTGAGATTTTTTGCTTATTTTTTCAGCACTGGGAATTGAACCCAGGGCCTCCTGCATGCCGGGCTTCTGTTCATTTTGACACAAGTAAAAATTTCTGGAGACAATCAGGAACTTGATTAAAGTTCATCTATGAATTAATAATGGCCCTAACTCTTACAAGAACTTCAAGGGTGTGTAGCTATTCCTAAATAAATTTCTTTATTCATTTTTATTTCAGCTAACATGCCACATTAATGTGGAGGGTATTAGTTCTTAAAAAGTTTAAATTAGATTTTTTATTAGAAAAAAAATATATGTAGGCTGGGTGTGTAGTTCAGTGGCAGAGGACTTCCCTAGCATGCCAGAGGCACTGGGTTCCATCCCTAGGTCTGCAAATTAGATGGTATAGAGGGGCAAATTAATGTTTCTATAGACGAACATACTAAAAGCCCTGCTGTGCCCTTCATAAGCAAAGGTGGGTTAGTACAGAGAAAATACTCTTCAAAGACTCTTGTGAAATTTTATAAAATACATCTTTCCTTGCACTTCTCCATGGCAAGCAGTATGGAAAGTTGCTCTGTTTTGTAGGACAGATTTTTAAAATTCGCAATAAGCTTTCCCTCAATCCTTTCCAACTCGGGCCCTGCAGCAGGGTTCCTGAAGAGAAGGAGGGGTAAGAAGATGGTGTTCTGCCCCCCATGAGGTGGTGACCCAAGAATTCACCATCAACATTCACAAGTGTAGCCATGAGTGGCCTTCAGGAAGCACCCCCCACCCCACCCTTAAGGAGATCCGAAAATGTGCCATGCAGGAGGTGGGACTCCAGATGTGCACGTGGATACTGGGGCACAGCGGAGCTGTCTGGGTCAAAGGGATAAGGAATGTCTCATGCTGTATCTGTGTGCACTGTCCAGAAAACAATGAGGATGAAAAGACACAAAACAAGCTCTATGATTTCGTTGGCTATGTATCTTGTTCCCACCTTCAGAAACTGATAATCAAGACACATGAGACTTAACTACTGACTGTCCCCTAAAATTATAAAATTACACACAAAAGTTAATATGCCCATTCTCAAATATACTTCAATTTAGGCAGTTAGGTATCAGTGCCCCCCTTATATCTTTAAGGTGGATCACTTACCTGACAGGGGATCTCCAATATTGTCTGGAAAGCCATTTTCTTCTCCCTTAAAAAAAAAAAAAATAAAAGGTGACTGTCATTACCATATATGAATAGGGGATGGCAGATCTTAAGAATGGTACCTTAGTGGTGGGTGTGAGATACGTGTGCTCTGAGGAGCACAAAGCTTCTGAGAGAGCAGTTTTCGTTTATTAGCTCCCTGTGCTGTGTCCCAGGGCTCAGAGCAGAGCCTACAGGAAAACACTCCAGAAATGTTGATTAACTCAATTAGTGCCCTGTTTAAAACAGTATCAATGCATGCAACTATGTACTACTGTTTTATTCTTATTTTACATTATGAGTTATTTTATTTCCAGTTGGCTGGGCTCATTGTCAGCCTAGGTAATAATGCTCTCCCTTATTTATTATAATGATTGATTTGAGTATATATTGTGAGGAAGCTAAAAGGAACTGAAGAAGTAACATCCAAATCCCCGGAGAGGCACTGTCCGTTCTTACAACCAGGGCCAGCTGCGGTGTGCAACATGGGAAGGGTTTATTCTGATCTTGGGGTGTGTGCGTGTGGATGTGCGTGTGTCAGTCCTCGCACACTTGCGCTTATGCAACCCGCATCATCTTTTTTTTTAAATTAGTTTTATTGCTATACAATATAATGGCATCCATCATTGGAAATCTGCTCCTATACATAATCTCTCTTGGTTCTTATTTTTCCCCCATTCTCCTGCCCTCCCCTCAACCCCTCCACTCTTCCCTATTTACAGAGACTTTGTTTCCATTTTTCCTTTTCTCATATTAATTCCATTCCCTTCTTTCCTTTCCCCTACCCCTCCCACTTCCCCTTCCCCTTTGCCCCTTTTCTTCCTATTTCACATTATCTATTATACCTTTTCGTCCTTATTTACACTTTCAGTTTCTCACACTAGAGAAACTATTCAGTATTTACACGTGTGTCCTATTTATTTCACTTAAGAGTGTCGCCTCAATGTGCATCCATTTAAGCAATAAATACCTCTAATTTCTCATTTTTTAAGGCTGAGTAGTACTCCATTTTATAAAAAAACCCCCACATTTTCTTTACCCAGTCTCCAGTTGACGGGCAATTGAGCTGCTTCCAAGTTTAGCTATTACAAACTGTTCTGCTATGAACATGGGTGCACATATATCACTGTGGTATGATTCTTTTAATTCTTCGGGGAAGATACCCAGCGTGAGAAGAGCTGGGTCAAATGGGACTTCCAGTCCTAGTTCTTTGAGGTATCTCCACACTGATTTCCACAGTGGTTGCACCAGTCTACACTCCCACCAGCAGTGGAGAAGGGTTCCTCTTTCCCCACAGCCCTGCCAGCATTTGTTATTGGTTGATTTCATGATAGCAGCCATTCTTTCTGGGGTGAGGTGGAATCTCAGCATTGTTTTCATTTGCTTCTCTCGAATGACCAGTGATGTTGAACACTTTTTCATATGTTTATCTGCTATTTCTACTTCTTTGTCTGAGAAATGTGTGTTCATTTCAGATGCCCATTTTCAGACTGGGGTTTAAATGTGGGAGGTTTGATTTTTTAAAGTTCTTTATAGATTCTAGATAGTAGACCTTTGTCTGAGGAACAGCAGGTGAAAATTTTTTCCCACATTGTTGGTTGTCTCTTCACACTGCTGGTGGTTTGTCTCGCTGTGCAGAAGCTTTTTAGTAAGAAGAGATCCCACTTGTTGAATGTTTGCGCATCATCTTGATACAACTAAAATTGCCCCCATCAGCTAGGGTTGTTCCTTTCATGGCACGAGGGGTGTCCACAGCCCAGGCTGATGGTTTCAGGCAGGTCCCCACTAGCGCTGGCCTCCCCTCCTTACTGGCATTCAGAGGTGACTGCTGGCTTAACCCAAATCTAGGAGTCTAACTCTCAGGCTTCTGGGAGTGTCACCTGTCGAGAGCCATTCTACATAATTTTTGGGAAAAATCATGTCACAATTAAATTATGACTAGGGCTGTCTGAGCTGTCAATGGTCCAGTGATGCTGTGACACTCAAGGGCAAGATTACATCAGCTGAAGACATCCTGGTTCTTTGAGAACTGAGTAGTAATACAAAAAGATAAAGATTTCACCTGGAAAGGGACAAGTTCCTTATGAGCCTAACTCATCCTACCTACTGTTGTAAGAATGTTTTGCTCATCTCACCATCCTAATCCACATAAAACTCCTCATGGTCTTAAGACCCTCATCAGCATTAGATCCTCATTTAGGATTACTGCTGCCCTCTGAGACGTCTGATTCGCCCTCCGATTATAAGATCCTTGTGAATTTAGGGTTATCGCTGCCCTCTGATACTTCCTATGAACCCAATAAATAGTAGCAAGCTTGGAAAGTCTTCACCTTTTCTTTAAATAAAATACTTACTGAGTTTTTTGGGGGAATTTGACACATCTCCATTGTATTACAATTGAGCCATTAATCTTGCAGCTTCATCAACATTAACTGGTTCATTTTCATGCTGCTCATTATTCATCTCTTTCTCCAGTGGTTCAAGAGCAAGCCTTTTTGAGAAATTTGCAATGTTTACAAAAGCATTATTCACTCTATGAATATTTTCATCATTTACAGTGTTTATCTTTTTAAATTAGTGGTGACTGGTTTTGCTTTGTTTTTGGACTTAAAAGTTCTTTTGGCTGGCTATGTGAAATACATTCCTGGACTTCTGCCCTCTTAATTTGTTCTTGGCCTTTATCTTTGATATCCGAGTGCTGCTGCTCAAGCTCCAGGTGACGCCATCTGCATGCACCGAGTCTTCATCTTTGCCCACTCTGAGACACTGACCTCCCGGCCCCTTATCTACTTTGAAACTATGCAAGTCTCTATTGTCTTTTTTTCTTTAGCCTTCACTGTCCCCCTTTCTAGGCAGTCAGAGGATTGATCGATCTCCGATAGTCACCCTTTGTTAAAGAAGTGCTAACACCACAATATCAATGTGTTCTATGAATTTTCAACATCTGTTGCTCTCACTTAATCTTCTAAGAAGCCTTTCTCTTCAATCCAGGCTTGCCAGTCCTACATCTCAGCAGTGCATACATATCTGCGTAATCACAAATCTAATGTTTTTCTTCTTTGAGTCCACTTCCTTACCATTCACTGTCTTCACTGGACCAACATCACAAGGATAAAACCCAGCTGCTTATCAAAATTCATACAATGTCTTTTCATTTCCTTGAAGTTGTACTTTCTCCCCACATTCCCCTTACTCAGTAAGACAGATGGGGGGTGGGGGAGACCTCTGCAGGAACAGCAGCGTCTGTCTACAATCTTGCACATTGGCAAAGTGAAACTTGGAGGGCCAGAAGTCAGGGCCTCGCCCCTTGATCCACAGGCCACAGAAAAACCTGGCTTTTCCTGCCTGCAGGAATGGGCAGGTTCGCTCATTCTTTCATCCACACAGTCAGTTGAGCTCATTGAATTGAAAGGTGGGCCTTGGGGACAGCAGGAGCCGCAGGGCACGTCTTGGAGAGGCCCAGATGTTAGAACTTGACAGACTGTGGTATTTGAAGTCCCTGCTAAAACATGACACTTTCCATGAATAAAAGCTGTGTTACATGGTACATTCAACTTGATTTCTTAAAATCTGGAGAAAATTTTTCCCAAGTCAATGTGTGGCCAAAACCATCACTGTGACTCAGACAGGGAACATGGCTCAGTGCTACTGAGAAGATGGAAGAAGACAGCATTTAGATCAATGTCTAGGATCTTTTCTATTATAATCTGGTGCCACATTTTTGGTTACTATTTAATAGTGAAATCAGAAAAGACTTTTGTGGTTTTGCTGAAACCACACTTGTGCATTCATTCCACACCCACTGGTTGAGCAGCTAATACGTACGAGCCTCCATGCTGGACCTCATGCACAAAGGCACAAGGATGAGAACACTTGACCTTAAAGCCTATCCTTAGAGAGCTGGGGGCGGATAAAGACTACAGGAGTAACTAGGAGGAGAGGAAGAAGACCCTGAGCTTTCACAGGGGCTGCAGATGGAGTGAGAGGGCAGAGGTTTGTGCCCACAAAAACCATCAAAGGCTATTTCCCTGGACACAGAGATGCTGGAGAGAGGCTTTGCTGAGGTCTGGCACTTACAGGAAGGGGCATTTAGCCAGGGGCTGACCAAGACATGAGATAGCCAGAGTCCCTCTGGGATGCTTTGCCATAAGCTAAGGCAAGAGGAAAAGGGGACAGGAAATGGCCCAAGGCCCTTCTGGAGCTGGACTCTGTGTCACAGACAATGGGAGTCATGAAGGGCTCTTGTTACAAGCAGGGCATCCTCAGGCAGCCCAGGACTTGCTGGCTCCAGAGCGCAGGATGTGGTGGTAGGAGCAGGCCAGGTGGTGGGGACAGGGCAGAGGCCGAGGCTGGGATTAAGCTCATGGTGGAGGGGACGGGAATGCCAGAGCGCCTGCAGAGATACAGTCTCGGGACACGAGTAGGACAGGAAATCAGGCTCCGCAGGGGTCCTGGACAAGACCGGGTGGCCAGGCCCTCCCTACATGTCTGAGATGCATGGGGCAAGGAGGCGTGGGTGACAGCATGGAGTCCCTAGGAGCAGGCCAGGTAGGGAATGAAAACACGGAAGGTGACGATGTCAAAGGGCACCTGGACAGCCACAGTTTGGTGGCAGCAGAAGAAAGAAAGAAGCAATGAGAAAGAGAAGGTCAGAGAAGAGAGGAGAGGGGCCACTCTCCCTCAGAAGTGCAGGAAGGCACGGGCTCTGCGGGCCAAGTGACCTCCAGACTTGGGGGAGAGGTGGTGGCGGCAGCTATTGTGGGGCAGTGAAAGCGAAGCCAACTGCCCCGTGGGGTGGCGGGAAAGCACGCGTGCAGCTGTGTCTGCCTGGAGCGGCCCCGCCCTTTGCAGCCCTGTCCGCCTGTCATCTGTGGGCCTCGGCTCAGCCACCCCTTCCTCAGGGACCCCTGCCAGTCCCCGGTGTCCTGTGTTCATCACCCCAAGCCATGCTTCGTCCACTGGCTCTGGGTGTCTCTTCCACACTGGACTGTGGACTGCCCAGGGAAG